TCAATATACATGCAGTTAATTTGTGTACAGCTCTTTTAAGTATATGATAATCTTATTAATTTTCCATAATCATTGGGACAAAACAAACTTCACAGACTTCAAGGCTCTACATTGTAGATATTTTATTGCGATATGAGGGCTCCAAATTTTGATTAATTTTGTACAAATGTTGTCTGACAATGTCCTGTTCTAACCTACAGGTCTTACAGGCCTAGCCAAAGACTCGTGTATGCTAGAAAATGGGGCATCCTACCGAGGAACGGCTTCTGTGACCGAAAATGGCTTGACGTGTCAGCGCTGGGACAGTCAGACACCTCATGACCACGACAGGACACCCTGGAAGTATCCGGCATCCGGACTGGAGCAGAACTACTGCCGGAATCCAGACAGTGAAGACAAAGTTTGGTGCTACACCCTGGATCCAAGCATTAGATGGGAGTGGTGTAATATTCCTTTCTGTGGTAAGGTTTGATTTGATCCAGTGTAATACTATTTTCTTAGTGAGGACATTTTAAAATAGAATACGGCAAAGTGATAGGACTTTTACACATAAAATATAATTATTATAATAACAGTAATTACTGTAAGTCTTGAGTAGAGAAAAATATCAACTTCAATTGATTAAGCTAATATTATTGCTATGATCATAATCAATGAATCAAAATAATTAAATAATCAAGTAAAGATTTTGGAGTTTACACAATTTCTTTAGACATGATTCATACCAAGAGCTAAACAGGTTTGAAAAATTGATATGATTTCAAATATATAAGATTTAAACAATTTAAGGCAAGGCATTCCACAATGCTGCCACATAATCAGATTTTAGGTACTACGTACGTAAGTCTGAACATTTAAACAAATTCTCTCAAGCTTAGGCCACACCAATTTAATTTGTTGGTTCTCGGATTTTTTCAGAAAAAATATGAAGCGACAGGGCGAAAAAAATAAAAATAAAAACAGGTCTAGGCATCCTATTATAGGCTTAAATGCTACAAAATGAGCCATGAAGTCAACACAAAAGGCTGGGTTAAAATTTAAACATTGAATTTTGAACTTTTAATCAAACCACTGCAATGATAGATGGGAAAACTGTAACAACTAGGAAGAAAAGGACTTTCCTCAACTATTGGGGGGCAAAACATGAGCATTTTTCAGTTGATTCAGGACCAGAATCAAATTTTTTATTTTTTTGCAAATCAGAAAAAAACGAAGAGGCGAATCCGAGAACCAACAAATTAAATTGGTGTGGCCTTAAGATATGGCAGACCATATGTCCTACCATTCCACTGACCGTAGTGTTTTCTAAATCGCAGGGACCATATATGGCAACCCAAGTGGACTGTCCGCATCTATGCATGCGATATTTGTGACGGAACAAACGAAGAAACAAATCCTGATCTACGAAAGGGACGGTATTTTTTCCCAAAGCTTCCCCACAAGGGGGTTCAGTGAGATACCACGGGACGTTGCCGTTGATCCGAAGGATGGTAACATGTGGGTGGTGTTGGGAGACAAGAATGACGCTAGTCTCCGTAAATACAGAAGGAATGGCAAGATGCTTATCGGGTTTAGCTTGCCTTGTAGTTCAGAGAAAACCGGTTTGTATACGTCCATTGCACTGGACACTCTTTCTGACAACATCGTAGTGACACTAGTGAGGACAGAAGAAACATCTTCTGAGGCACAGGATGATCACAAAGCAGTATCAATATTCAAACCAGGTCACGGGCGTGTGATGAGGTTTGGACATCCCGATTTGACGTACCCAAATTCAGTTTCAGTAGACAAGGAAGGTAACATCTTAGTCGTTGACGGGAAGAATTTCTATGTGTACAAGTTTGGCAAGAATGGGAATTATCGCTTCAAATTTGGTGGTGAGGGAAGTGGAAAAGGTAAACTGAAAATGCCAATGGGCAGTTGTATAGACGGATCAGGTCGCTTGCTTGTAGCTGACAACAGGAACAACCGGGTAGAGATGTTCAATACTCAAACTGGCAAGCATATCTGTACTGTTGTTAAAACTTTCAGGCCTAGGTTTCTCTCGTTTGTCCGGGCCTTCGAATGGCTCATTGTAAGTAATGATAATAACATTGTTACTATCTTCAACGAGAAGCAATATGACAGGTGTTGATTTTTAAATGTTTTGGATGTTAGGCATTGCCTAAGTCTAAGGGAAAAGTGCCCAAAACTGTAGTCAGATCAACATGATCTTCTTGTAAGGGTTTAAGGAATTTTCAAGGACAAAATCCTGCTTTGACAGTGGTTTGAACTGATTGATGCTTTGTTAATTTTATTTTAATATAATAATAAATATGTTAAAACTTATTTTTTATTGTTTTTAATGATATGAAAGAACACTGTGTACTTACTAGTAATAACTTCATTTTCTTTTAATAATTTCTAGACATAAAATGCAGAATTAAAATGCGATAATCATATTACTAGAAAGATACTTTTTTAAATACTGTATGTACATGCTTTTGGGGAGTTTGCGATCTTGGTACCCTCTGTACAAGGAGTATATGATTGTACAAGTGAGGTGAAGATATATAATACTACACTTGTTGCATCGAGGAAGCTCCAACGTCATACTTGGGGTGTCCTATCCCTGTCAGTAGACATAGTGATGCTAGCCAGGTGAATGGCACATTTACATGTAACATCTTATAAAATGCATACATTTCTGTATTATGCTTTGTGTTTGGTCGTGCTTCACTGATGATACTTAAGTATCATTATATTTGAATGTCTGTTGTCACCAATTTATAATAGTTTGGAATTCCTATTTATGTTGAATTAGCGTTTGAATTTACGTTGAGGTTATGCTATTGGGAGGTTCAAGTATGATACTGAGGATTCGTTATATTTGAATTTCTGTTGTCATCATTTGATATTAGCTTGGAATTCCTATTTAATATGTTAAATAGCATTTGAATTTGAATTGAGCTGATATTATTGTACTGGATGGTTCAATTTCTGTTACTTTATATGTGAAAGAATATATAAGAAGTCCTGAAAAAAGTTTCTGTATTATGAGCTTTTGATTGTTATCAAATGTAATGAAATAAATCGAGTAGCAGCACTACATGTACCTAAAAGTTGTAGAGCCTGTGTCCTTATTTGTGTGCCATTTTATTTGTGGATACATACCTGAATGTTAGTATGTGTCTGTGTGTGTGTGTACATGTGTATGTGTGCATGTGTTTATGGTTATGTGTGTGTGTGTGTGTGTGTGTGTATGTGTATGTGTAGCAGTGACATTAGTATTTCTACGCCCACATCGATATACTACCAATAGCTTGACACTAATTTGTTGTGTGTGCTTGAGTGCGTGTTTGTGTATGTGTGTGTGTGTGTTGTGTGAAAATTTCACATACAGTATCAGAGAGACATAATCAGCAGATGATTGATCTTATTGGCATCAACTGGATCAACAAACATAAGTTAATCTGCTATATATATCACCGCACTTTTCACTCAGTTATCAGAGAACTACATCCGTAAATAATTTCATCAGGTTGGTAAACGACTGAATAGCAAAGTTCTTTCTATCACAACCATTTATTTTTCAAGCCTTGAAAAATAAATGGTTGTGATAGAAAGAACTTTGCTATTCAAGGAGGACTACAGTTACCAAAAGTTCACCTGGAGTACAGAAAGCGAGCTTTCTCGTACTCTGGGGTGATTCTTTGGAACAATTTACCATCTCACCTGAAATCAGTCAGTACACTCGAGCTCTTACACTTCAAACAAATATACAAACAAGACTGCCTACCAATTGTACATTGATATGCAAATCCCTCCCTTCACTTATTATTCATTTTATTTTATATGATTGATTTGTCTCAACATTATTTGATGTATTCTTAGTTTGGACCGTTTATTCTTCTGTTACCCTTACGTTCCTGCTTACCATTAAGTTACCTTATTTTCATTTGCTCCTTGGTTGTATATAAGTTTGTTAATTCAGCATTTACTTTAAAAATGTTGTGTTGTTATTATTTTATGTGATTGGAGCTTGCCCTCCAGGGCGCATTGAAAACCTTCCTTTAGGGTGATATGTTCTCTGGTTAGATAAATAAATGAATAAAATATAATGTAGCAGAACACCATATACAGTGGGTCTGACCTTGGTGCTGAAATCACTGAGAACGCAGACAACATCCCACAGAAAAGTGTTATTCTTTCCACACATTTCTTTCTACAATAACACCGCTTTCTTTTTCTTTGGAAATACTGTCCAACCCAGAAAACAATCATATCACTGGATTTATTCCAACATATTGATTAAGAAACAAAGGATCACACTACAGTTTTATGAGAAATGAAATTTCCGTGAAATGCAGCATTTAATAACCCAATACAAGTTATATTTTACACATTTCTTTCTACAAGAATACCACTTTCTATTTCTTCAGAAATAATGGCCAACCCAGAATCATATCACTGGAATTATTCCAATATATTTATATGAAAGGACCATACTACAGAATTATGAATGAAATAAAATTGCCATCAAATGCGACACATTCTCACATTGTACCTTGGACAATCTTTTTAGCAGTCAAATTTATTATAGAACTTTTACAGTGACAAAATATCACTTTTGGTCATAAGATCTATGCTGTCCTACATTTATTTTGTTCCTACTATTCGGTTAATAAGTGGGGTCGTGTGGCGCAACGGCAGCGTGCGCGACTCAGAATCAAGAGGTCCCGGGTTCGAGTCCTGACATGCCACCGATCTTGTGCCCTTGGGAAAGGCACTTTACACGACTTTCCCCACTAGACTCAAGTGAAAATGAGTATTGTCTGTCCAGTATTTGTTTCTATGTGCGGGACACAACACCAGCAACAGCTGCCTCTGTTCCGCACTGTTGCAATTTCAATAAATCAAATCAAATCAAATCAAGTCACGTTATTTAGGTCTGCTTGGGATTGAAACCCAGAACCTTTAGATGCCAACCCTAACCTTGCCACCTGCCACATAATTAGGTTTTAATACTTGGTGAAAATAGTTACAATGTTATCATCATTGCTTACAACCAGTTCGCCCCTTTTGCCAATAGCAAGAAACCTAGGTTGGAAAATTTTGACAACAGTGCGGATATGCTCGCCAGTATCAGTACTGAACATCTCTACCCTGTTGTTCCTGTTGTCAGCCACAAGCAAGCGACCTGATCCGTCTATACAACTGCCCATTGGTGTTTTCAGTTTACCCTCTTCACTTCCCTGGCCACCAAATTTGAAGCGATAATTCCCATTCATGTCAAATTTGTACACATAGAAATTCTTCCCGTCAACGACAAAGATGTTACCTTTCTTGTCCACTGAAACTGAATTTGGGTACGTCAAATCGGGGCGTCCAAATCTTTCAACCAACCGTCCACCTGGGTTGAATATTGATATTCCTTTGTGATCATTCCATGCCCACCGAGGCGGGTCTTCTGTCCTCATCAGAGTCACTATGATGTTGTCAGAAAGAGTGTCCAGTGTAATAGACGTATACATGCCTGTTTTCTCTCTACAAGGCAAGTTAAACTGGGTGAGCAACAGGCCATTCCTACAGTATTTATGGAGACTAGCGTCATTCCTGTTTCCTAACATCACCCACATGTTACCATCCTTGTCAGCAGAAACATCCCATGGATACTTCCCTGTGGAAAAGCTATGGAGAAAAATGCCCTTTGTGTTGTAGATCAGAATTTGTTTCTTCATTTGCTCAGTCACGAATATCTCATTTCCGGGGGATATGTCCAGTCCATATGGCAGGACAAAGTCGTCCGATCCTACCTTCCCATCGAAAGTGATTTTGCCAGCTTTGTCTTTGGTCCCTGCAAAGACAACACTTGGTTACTAGTGGAATAGTAGTATAGCCCTACAAGGTGAACAAAACCGTAAACTTGTTTTCAGCACTAATAGTCCATGGGCCGAGACCGTTTTTTGTACCACCAAGACGGACCAGTGCTACCATAGATTTTTTGAATCTGCAATAACCAAAGTTTATTTTGATGTATGATAGCAAGTCTGTATGAGTAGCTTTCTTGGTGTAATCACGTGACCAAGTGACGTCATCAAAATGGACCTCGTGCCTTGGGACTAAATCCAAAGGGCCGGGAAAAAAATATCAAACATCAATAATTCTCGGCAAAAATTGGTTTGTAGACAAAACATGCCACAGTAATCACAACACAATAGATTTTTTGCCGATATTCTGCATTTTTTAGGAAGTTATACGCCTTTAAACTCCGATTTTGAGGGTAATTTTTTGTGTAAAAAATCATTGTTTACTTTCCAAAATCAGGCATTTATTCAGGCTACCTATGGGGCCTTGTGTAACAAGTTATGATGATTGGCCATATTATGCGCTGCATTTTGGGCTTTAAATCAACAAAATCGGTCAATGCTATCTGTAGTTACGAGTGTTTAAAGCATTGCACCCCATCAGACTGATTATCAAATCGGCGGGAATATAGCAATGCATCATGGGTAATTTGAAGACAGTGTGACTAACAAAATGCGTCCTGTGCACTGGCATTAAACCCAATTAACCTGTAATTTGGTACGGGTGTGCCTTGGACATCTACCCATAGGACGTTGTTAACTTTTATACCATTAACAACGTGAAATTACTTATTTTTGGACTTTTCAGCTACTTTCCGACCGTAAATGGTTAATTTATATATGAGTCATTGCACGAGAAAACCAGGCAGAGGTCGGAAGATGGGGGTTGGCCAAGTCGGCTCAAACTTTGTATGCGAGATAGGTATGGGGAACTGTGAACAACCATATACTTAAAACCCTCCAGATATTTGTCATTATGGAGATCTGGGACCCCCCTCCGAGAGCCTCCGAAATCAGGTAATTTATGGCTGAAAATTACTGAACTTACGATGGCTGCACTGATGATTCTGATAAAGATATGGATAAAACGTTTATACTACCACATAGCATAGCTTTTCTAGTTTTACAGACCCAAAGCTCAAGAGGACACATTGAAGTTAAGAGGGTGTGACAGGGGGTGACTGGAACCAATGAAAGCAGAATTTACATCTCTATGCATTTTATTCATTTTTAAGGCACATTATCTCATATGGGCAGTGGCTTTGGTTAATGGTTTTACTGTGGTTTGAGAGAGGAACATCTACTGATTCAAAAACAAGCGTCGTTGGGTTGGGCCATACATAACGCGAGCCGTGACTGAG